AAAAAAAAAAAAAAAGTAAGTCAATGCCTAATTAACTTTAAAAAAACATGATTTTAGTAATTTTCTTAACAATTACACCCATTGTTACTTGGGCCTAGCCCCAGGCTCAAACTTGAAGCCCACCTTTCAATCCAGGCCCCTTTTTCTTTACACGCACATTTCATCGGTGAATCCCCAATTTTTTTTAAAAAAAAAAAGGGCGGGAAGAGGCAAATTAGTTGGAAGTCTGTTGTTAGTTAGAATGGTTGTTAATTACTTGATCATAATTGTATATTGAGTTAACTCAGCTGTAATCGATTCATTACGTTTGTGAAATAAGCCATTCAGGGTGTGTTTGAACCACATTATTCTGGAAAAATGTATTTTGGAATAGTAGATTGATGGATAATGTGTGGTTGAAAACGAAGGAAAAGTTATTGATGTGATGGAAAATATTATTTTATTGAAAAATGTGTGATTGAAAATGAGTAGAAGAATGAGAATGAAATATTTTAATGTGGCTCAAACAGGGGCTCAATTAGAAGAAACCACACAAATCGATCAAGATGGTACTCGCGCAGTTAAGAGGGAGTATATCGCGGGCTCTTCAGCAGATGAGCAATGGGACGATAATTGATGAGAAGGTTCTGAATGACTGTCTCAACGAGATCACGCGGGCGCTCCTTCAGTCTGATGTACAATTCAAGCTTGTCCGCGATATGCAGACCAATATTAAGAAAATCGTCAATCTCGATGGCCTAGCTGTGGGCTACCATAAACGAAAAATCATCCGACAGGTAAAAAATTTAAACAATAGAGGATTACTTTTGATAGAGGAAATATTTAATTTGGTTTTTAGTTATTACTGGATGTGAATATTGAAATTTGAGTACGTTAGAAGAAAATTTAGGCATAGAAGGCGTAATTAACAGAAGTTGCGTTGGCTTTAAAAAAATCTGTTTAGAAATTCTAGTTGTCTTAGGTGTCCTGGGAATATGAAATAATAAAGTCCCGTTCGGGAGGGATTAAAATCCAATTAAAATTGATAATATAGTCGTTATTGGGTCCCACTCGTCTAATAAAAGTCAACAATAACGGTTATATTTTCAATTTAAATCCGATTTTAATCCCTCTCATACAAGGCCTAAATGAGGTCTGAAAATGTCTCTTCTGTAGGCTATTTTTAACTAGCTTTGTAAGACGTTGGGGTTGAGAATTTACTTAACACGTGCATAGAGAAAGATAAATAATTTTTCAATTTTCATCACGGATCTGTTTTGTATTTAGAGAGAAATTGTGATAGAAATTATACATTTGATAAATTCTACAAATTCCTTTGTTGATTTTCGAAACGAACAATCACTAACTACAATCCACATATGTCCAATTATCCAACCTTCAATGAAAATTCACACAGGGAACAAGAACGAGAGAATTAGGATTTCTCTCTTCTTGTGCTAACAAGATAATGAATTATGTTCTGTTCTATTTTTTTTTTTTTTTGGAAACCTTAATGACTTATTAATATAAGCCCAAGTGGGCATGACTCGTCTCTTAAACTTAATTCGGTGCATGAATTAATTAATTCGGACCTATTAGCAAGCAACTTATTAATTAATTGTCCAACACTTGTTAATTAATTAATTCGTGAATCTCAATCTTCTGGTTCTCCTTTTGTGTGTGACTCATCAGGTTCCCTATCACGATATCTAACGACGTAAATTATTATTTTAATCTAATCAAAATCAATAAATTAAAATACCCATTTTAATTTATCACCAATTCACATTCGTCGTCCCAAATTGATATCTAACAATGTGTCGGGCAATATATGTAACGAAAAATGTCATTGGTATGACAAAACCAATCATGTTTGTTTACCGTGAGACTATAATCCATTCATCAATATGATCCGATCAATTTTGAGATATTGATATGTGTCCATCTCAATTATCGATAATATCTTTCATCCCACTATTAAGTCAATATAAGTCGAAAACTCATTTTAGACTTATGAGTACACCATGGTCAATGATTTCATTATCAACTTAACTAAATGAAATGTAGATCATAATTTCTTACTATTTGGAGTTACGAATCCTCTATTGATCATTTATAACCTTCATATGATTCTTGACATACCCGAACGATGCCGTATTTGTGAACCTGGGCAGAGTAACATCCAACATCACCAAAGCATGACTGTCCTCATATATGACACCATGATGACCTCAAGTCAAATGACCAATTCCACTACCGAACGTTAGAGATTAACCACGACACTCAGATAGTTATCAAGGTAGAATCTCCAAGTGGATCTCCAATGTTTTGTTCTATAACAAAACATCCACACGTTCATTCAAGTGTCACCACACTTTAACTTGTGAGATCTTGGACCTAGGGCATAACACTTACAAACTCTCACTTGTATTAAATCCA